AACTACAGCCGCCTAAGGGTTGATTTCCACTGTCGGGTAATTTTTCCGTGAATTTACGTGCGTCAGTGAAATAGTGTTTTCACTCACGTGGCCAACATCTATGCAAATTTATTGAAACAAAAGAAAGCGTTGGCATAAGAAAGGAATTCAACTCCCACAGGACTGGTTTGGGACACCAACATGGCCGCCGTTTCATTGTTTTGGGACACCAATATGGCCGCCGTGACGTCATGTGAAAACACTCTATAGAGGCAATGTATGAAAGGCCACACGTAAACGTAAAAGTTGAGCGAGGTTCAACTTTCACGTTTTTTCGTGTTAAATACATTTCGCTCAGTCTAGATCGTAGACCCGTTATTTCGCCTCTTTGACCGCGCGAAACCGCAGTCGCGAGGTCTGGAGCTGAGCGGGTAAGAGATCGCGTTTTTGGCTAGTCTCCCTCGCAGCCGTTATTAGGGTCGTCACGCAACGCTCTAGTGGGGAGGAGCGTTGCGTGACGACCCTAATAACGGCTGCGAAGGAGACTAGTTTTCGGCTTGTTCTTCTCGGCATTCTCGGCAACGTCACCGCGCGAAGGTAGAGCCCAGTTCTAACCGACCAGGGACGATTAGGGACCAGGATGTATTGCGTTCTGTTAGTACCTTTTCTTGACCTTGATTGTCAGATGAATCACCTATAGAAACATAATGGTAATGGAAGAATTATCAGACATCTCGACTGTGAACAGTGATCCATTAGGGACCTTAAGATCCGACGACGGCGACGGCAACGGGAACGCCACAAAAGCAATAAGTTTAATTAGCAAAACAACAATTTTGCNAGCCCAGTTCTAACCGACCAGGGACGATTAGGGACCAGGATGTATTGCGTTCTGTTAGTACCTTTTCTTGACCTTGATTGTCAGATGAATCACCTATAGAAACATAATGGTAATGGAAGAATTATCAGACATCTCGACTGTGAACAGTGATCCATTAGGGACCTTAAGATCCGACGACGGCGACGGCAACGGGAACGCCACAAAAGCAATAAGTTTAATTAGCAAAACAACAATTTTGCAGTGCATCACGCTTTTTTGTACATTCTTTGCCGTCACTACACGACTACGACGTCAAAATGCCTAATTTCACGATGTACAGAGGAAGTAAACAAGCGACGACGAAATTTCCTCTCTCTTCCTGAACTTGGATATGGTTCTTAGGGATTCAACTTTAGGAGGGTTCGCCTACATTTCACAAAGTTAGTAACTTGGAGTAATCGCCATGAAGATTCAAAGAACACGAATGCACTTTTTCAGCGACGTTTTCTCTGCCATCGCCGTCCTTGGATCTTAAGGTCCCTATTTAGTTACATTGTACGGGGAAATCAAATAAACGCTTTAAACCTAAAATATAGCGACAATAATACCATGTTAAACTATCCATTACTTGGTTTTTGCCTTTCAAAATATGAAACAGACTTCTCAACCGTAAACTATGATCCATTTAAGTAATTAAATAAACGCTTAAACATAAAATATAGCAGCAATGATCAGACGTTAAACTTACCAGCACTGGGTTTTTGCCTTTCAAAATATGAAACAGCTTTTGGCAGCTTCTTTTCTGCCACATACAACAAGAACTGCTCATTAGATGACCAAGCTAAGCAACCAAATTGCGCTGGAAAAGAAATCGGAAAAAAAAAACCGGTATGACTAAGGGTGCTTTTCAAAACTCAGAAGTTGCAAGCCAGACGGGTCATTTTGAAATTTTAAGGATGAAATATTAGTTTTTTCTTCCCAAAGTTTTTGCTAAAACCCATCATTGCCATGCGCACCATTCAGGAATTAAAATAGTCCTGATTAATAGTGGAATTCTCCTTATGACTGGACCGGTCTGGCCAGTGAGTATGGTAAGTGGCTTTAGTCTTCTCTAAGATGCACTGTTCTTTCACTGAACATTTCCCAAGATGAAAACCTGTTCAAAACAGTCATCTTTCCAAAAAGGACACAGAGGAATCCTTGGTGGACTAAGAACTAATTATCGGGGTAGGGTGGGACAATTATTTCTAGGATAGGAAAGGGCAATGTCACCACCCCCAGGTACCTGCAATATGGAAAATCATTTATTCACAACCCTTGTCATTATCAAATACTTACAGCCCTCACAGATCTTTCTGTGTTTGTCAAATGCCTGCACATCCACACTCTTAAACAAGTTACCAGATGACCAAATCTACACCAGAGCAGACAGAAACATAATTGTACATCAACTAAGTTAGTACTAGTGAGTCTATATTGTGCAAATGTTTACGTATTCTAATGAAATTATTATTATTATTAACCTTGGTGACCAGGCGTGAAAATTTGGTCACCACTGGGTAAATGCTGGTCGCATTGGCGACCCCACGGGTCTCAACGTCGAGCCCTGCTATGCCTCACCTGGAAATCATGACAGCTTTTGTTCCATGTGGCTAGCATAGTGAAATAAATTTGTTGATTGATTAAAAGAAAACTGAGAATCAAACTATGTTGAAACCATTATGTCCTTATTTTCATTTTGACCAACAACATAAGTAATAGACACACTACTATTGGATTGAATCTCTCGATCCCCATGTATCCATCATTATACAGTCTACCTCCAAAAATTGTTTCTCCTCTTGTCCACTTTTTCCTGGTACCTTTCGCACTATTGCCTGAAGTTTGCCACTTGGTGACAGGCTACTTAATTGCCTAAGAGAATAATGCAATAAAAACAAAATAGAGTAAAAGAAATTAAAGCATGACCAATGCTGAACAGAGAGAACATCTACATAAGATGTATCTTTTTAAGAAAGCTTTTAATAGAATCATATACTGATTTTAGTGACTTTGGACTCTACGATGATAGTTTCTACATAGTTTTACTTTTTCAGCTCTAACTAATAGATTCCTTACACGTTTCTTTTTTTGTTAGGCATGAGCACAGGTTGTGTAAGACCACACAGGTAGGAAATTCCAGGAAAAAAAAACCAAACAATTTTGACTAAAATAATATTAGTAATCTCCAAAGTGAAGATGACTCAATATTAAGCAAAAAACTTTTTGTGGTACTATAACTATTTATTTACATATTTCAGCCCTGTAAAATAGTATTTTAAAATAATTTTTACATCTCAAGTGAATGTCACGGATAAGTCTTACATTCTTTCGGAAATTTTGCATGTAAGTTATTTTAAATCAAATTTCAAAAGGAAGAATATTGACATAAGAGAAAGATAGTAATTCAAAATTGTGTTGTTTGTTTTCGATATTCGGGGGAATGAAATGCATTCTGCTAAATAAATGAGGAAATATACATGTAATATTATAATCAGATAAATTTACAATGTTATTATTGTAAACATATAACTGCAGTTGAGGAAAGTAAAAATGTAAAAACATATTAACACTTACAAGTTTTGAACTTCTGCTGGAAATGAAGGCTCTCTGATGTTGGTGATGGATTTTGCGGTGGGTTCATAACTTGCAATATGACTTCTGAGAAAACTACGACTTTCATTTCTCTCCAAATCCCGTTGAGACCATTTGGAAACAATGCTAAATTCATTCACATCACCTCTGGAACCTCTATTCAGTAATGAGACTTTTGCAGTGGTAACAGAGGCAACAGTGGCATATTCTCGGTAAACCTTCACAGCTCTCTCAACAAAATCCTATTTTTATAGGGGAAAAAACATTATTGTCTTGCATCATACTCCCCCTGTTGAGAGTTTTTTTGGTTAGATCCCTAACCCTCTGGAAATTCCAGTTCAGCCTCATATAGTTCCTTTAAAAAATGTGGCCTTACAATCCTCTCTCCCTTGGAATTTCCAGAAACCCTCTATGGGGTGAGTACGCATATTTTTTTGGAACAAAACACTACTGTCCTATAAACCCACGAACAAGAAGGGATTTTTCAGTGAGTTCTGGAAAGGGTGGAAGAAAAGTTGTCAGAAAGCACCTGTCAGAATCCTAAATTCATAACGGGAATGTGGAGTTCTGCCTTTCACAGAAGACTGGGCATGAATGGAGGGTGGTGTCTATGATGAAAAAGATAAATAAATAAATGAAACGACTTTATGAATTTTATACTAGCTTTAGGTGTTGGTCATTGTTGCACACTGCGGAAGAATGGTCCTAATCGCGTGCAAGTCATGATCTGATCAATCGTGACTATCGATGGTACAATGTTCCATATGCCAACCTTTTTCCCTGGTGGTATTCTTTTAACAACAATACCATATTACAAGACGGTTCAAAGACAATTGTAGATCAAGATCGGAAACTACGATACATAGTTCGTTGTTTCGCTGCCTAGATAGTTGATATAATAGTAAACAGACGCCGCTTTCCCTTGATCCCTTAAACACGGACTGTCACACTTCTGACACTTCGTCGCACTTTTTTTGTGATCATTGTCGGCGATTTGGAAAAAGATTTTCATTCTTCAGAACAATGTCACTTATCGCTTCCAGCCCTTGGGAGGCTTCACTTTGAGGAGTAAAGATAAAAGGTAAATTTTAAGCTGGGCAATGAAGTGAAAAAAATTCATTATAAGTTTATGTATGTCACGAGCATAATTCTCTTCATAAAGCGCAGGTATTTAGAATATTAGTAGAACCATAAATACTTCGTGTACAGACCTTACGTCAATTAGATCTCTGTGCGCAAAGAATACCAACATTCATATTACCAACACGACACTGTAAATGCACTAATCTATCAAAAACTAACGAAGAAAACTAACATTTCTCAACAAACCTCAGCCAGCTCATTGCTTGCCGCCATCGTGTGATTTGCGAGTGATCGAGTTTTCTTGGTCATCTGGTTAGTAACAACATATATGAAGTATCTACGTATTATTACACTGCGGGCTCATGCCCTACCCGCTCCATGATTTCCCAGCAATCAATTTGGTTTCCCACTTGAAGGTGAAATTCTGGGATTTTGTCTACTTTTTTTATCACATTTTCCCTGTTTTTAGACAGTTTATAGTGAGATGGCAGCAGGTTTGCCTCGTAGAATAACCAAGGTAGGCTTATGGACATGCGATTTTGCCAACGAACAAACAAAGAGACTGAAATCGTCAGCCTTTTGATTTATTAATTAGACATTCTGAGTGTAGCTTAAAACCCGGTATTTCCCTTTCGAATTGCAACTAAAGTTATTATGACTTTAGGAAACTCAGCGATTGCAAGCCGAACCTGTTCCTGGCATAACGGCTGTTCCAGATGAACACAATGCTAGATACTTTAAAGTTTCAATGGATGGTCCTAGTCAGGTTGGAATTTTCCCTTTTGTCCTATTTTAGCTAAGTTGATTAATTTTGTTCATCCCTCATTGGTATGTTGCGTAGCCGTAAATTTCTTTACTCGTAGGATCACTTAAATTGCTTAAACCAGCTTTTATTTTGGTGTAGCCCTAATAAGACTTCCATAAAAGTTAGCCCTAAGGACTTCAAGGTTTAGGATAAGGGTTATTTCCCCCCTCCCCCCACCCCACTCCTCTTTCAGTTTATGGGGTTAGGATCAGGGTTTGTTTTGGGGGTTACCTGCCGGCAGTGTAGGGTTGACAAGGTTAGAGTTAGGGTAGGGCACCCTGTGAGTAGGAACATTTCATGGTTAGTGTAGAATTTGCACAGTCCAAAAGATATGTTTTAACGTTTTTGTTTTGTTTTGCTAAACTAGCCTGTCCACAGACATTTTTTTCTTTTTAAAGAATTGTACAGGTCCGCAAGTGAAGCGAGCACAGCAGAGTGAGCAGGGAGTGCAATCACATGTGCAAAGCATGAGAAAATAGAAAGAAATGTCTATAGACATCTTTGGGGAAAAAGTCCCTATTTTATGTCAACACCTTGTTATTATCACCTCATTATCACCCTATCATTCACGAGACCAGTTAAATTGAACCAATGATATTAAAAATGTTAAATGTTTGTGAAATCAGGGATCAAGCAGTTTTCTGCCGAGCTGTTAACAAGCTCCAATTCTTAAGATAATGTGAAATGAGTGATAAGAATAACATTATTCTTTGCAAACTCTGCACATAAATGTATAATTTCTGCTACTGTATTTTCTTAGTTTTTTCTGTGGCATAATTTGATAATTTTTTTAAGGTGTAATAATTGTTATTCCTTATGTAGTAATTGTAATCATATTTTCATAACTTTAATAAGTTTTGGTAAGTTTGTCAATGCTAAATAACGATTGTTTGGGTTTTTTAGTCACCATTTGAAGGTGGCAAATTCACACTGGAATTGTTCCTCCCTGAAGAGTATCCAATGGCTGCACCAAAAGTAAGATTCATGACAAAAATTTACCATCCAAACATTGATAAACTTGGTCGCATATGCCTGGACATTTTGAAAGGTAAGTGGATTAAACTGACATCTCATTATCAGGACTTGCTGGTGAGAAGTTATTTACTAAGGGGACTGTTTAATTTATTAAGTTTTTCCTATCTGTGATGAGTGCTACAAAAGTATACAATAAATTGCAGTAAACAATTATCAGCACCATGCAAATGACTTATTGACAGACTGAAGCAAAACAGACAACAACAGAATGACCGGATGACCAATAATTTGACTAACAATAAACGACTGTTCAACTGTGACAAATAGACGGTAGTGTTCATAGCCAATAACATCTTAACAGCTAAACTGACAGGACGACCAATAACAAAGCAACTTAATTGGCCAATCAGGTCAATAAGCAGAGTTTAATACCACCAACTGACGTGATACAACCCACTTTGACTCTGAAGATGACTACAGCACAGGTTGTTGAAACATCAGTCGCTGTCAACAATAGTCCTATTCAGGACTACATTCACCTGGACAGTCATGTTCCACCTACTAATAAAATGACTCAGCACCTGGTGTTAAATCTTTCCCAATAGTGGGGAGATTTAGAATGGCATTTAAAGCTTGTGGTTGATGTCAGATTCAAGTTCACAGTTTCTGAATTAGAGAATGAGTAGGTAAAAGGTGTCTAACACAATTCTTATGGATGAAACTGACATGAGTATATTGATTATTTTCTTTGTAGATATTACAGGTCTAAATTAAATTTGGGTTAAGATTTCTTAACCTAGGTTGATTCTCAATTTCCTTTGCCTGCTAGCCTTAATAACTCCTAGTTTAGGGTTAGAAGACAAAGGACACCTAGACTAAAAAATTTTTAAAAATTTTGGCCTGCAACATAGATGTAATGAACAGCAGATGACAAGTTGAAAGGGAAATTTGAACGTAAAAAAAATTGTAAACCATAATTTGTTTACTCGTGGAGCACTTGGAGTTCTTAACATGTTGAAACGTGTGTGCGTTCAGATCGAATTGGAATTTGTAAGTGTTGGTTTCTTTGGAGAGGGGAAAACCAAAGCACCCGGAGAAAATTAAACGTCTCAGAGCAAGGGAGAAAACCAACAAGAAACTCAACTCACATATTTCATGGTTCGATTTGACATTATTTTGCCGTTGCCATAAAGATGATTCTAAATCTCTCTAATGTATATCAACGTTATTGATTCTAGGAGGAACAGGGATTGATATTTTATTTTCTACAACTGTAGATAAATGGAGCCCAGCTCTTCAGATCCGTACAGTTCTCCTATCTATTCAGGCACTTCTTAGTGCCCCAAACCCTGATGATCCTCTCGCTAATGACGTAGCTGACGAGTGGAAAACAAATGAGAGCAAGGCCATTGAAACTGGTATGTAAAAAGTGTATTTACAGATTTTAAAAAAATTTTGCAACTTGCATATTGTATTCATATCTGAATTTTTCTCTTCATGTTGAATGAGATTGGTAAAATACTGTAAAATTTGTTGTTTCAGAGTGAACTCTTGAGAACATCCAAATACTTATATCATATTTCACGTTCTTGTTGTTGTGAACAATAAATTGTAATAGCGTGATAAATGTTGCCTTCTAGGTTAATTTCTGCCACATTTTGGGCCAACTTTTAGAAAACCTGCTAAACCTTTTAAACCTGCTAAGGAAACATTATGTACCAAGATGCAAAATGGTATGAGAAAAGGTTGCAAGCTATGTAAAATGAGGAATAGTCCATTCTTGCCACAGAGTTAACCCAAGAACATAAAGAGTGATTGACCTATTTGAGGCTTATAATGACAGATGTTGAACCATGATTTAACTTCACTTCCACAAGATTAAAAAAAATAATTAGTAAAAAGATGATCCTTTTGTAATCTTATAATACAAACTTTAACAAAACTCCCCAGAGAGGGTAAACTAGGGCAATCAGAATGAGCTTACTAACTTGATCTGTGAATTGCCTCTTTAAATTGCAGCAAAAGAGTGGACAAGGAAATATGCCAAAGGAACTTGATAGTGGTTCTTTGTTTAAAGAGTATGAAATTCAGTGTTTTGTTCAAGTGCAAAGTTTTCAAGTACATACTACTGTGCCAAAAAAATTGCTTCTTTTAGCTGTACTGATACAGAAACTCTTTTTGTAAAATATTGCTTAGATTCATTATTAATAATAACCAATGAATGAAGCTTGTAGATTGTGTGTACGTGTATGTCGCGATAAAAAGTGTAGCAATACTCAGAAACAAGCTTGTTTTTTATGTCGGGGAAACCCTGATGGTGAGGGATTTCACTGGTTGTTTACCAATGGTAAACAACCACATAGGCAAACTAGTCAGTTTATGGTTTGGATAGATAGAAAGCAACAGTCATGACTGGTAAATTTCATCCCAGAATCACGTTTACCATTTGTACATGTACAAAATATTAATATTAGTTCCATTAACTGAAAAATGACCCGAAAGGCCTGAAACTAGTATCAAAGATGGCTTTAAAGTAATGGAACATGAATTTCCATTGGAACCACGGTGGGCATATGTGACATCAAAAACGCTCACCCTCATTCATCTTCTTTAGTTTTAAAGCAATTCACTGGAAAATTTTTAACAATGTAGAAATTTGAATTTCCTGCCATTTTGTGCTATTTTTGGTAACAAAATGGTGGAAAATTGAACTTTCAAAACGCTATATCTTTTAAGTTGATAGGCGTATTTGAAAAATTTTTTCACTTTTGACATCCTTGTGGTGAGTTCTTTCAGAAACCATCGTTAGATATCCTATAATACTAAAAGCAAAATTTGGGGGGAACTTTGTGACATCAATTTCCCACCAAAATGCCAAAATCTGAAAAACCAAAAACATACAATTTTAGGGAATGGTGAGTTCTATATAAAATTTTAAGCGAATTGTGTTAAAACTAAAAATATGAAGGAAGGTGAGCATCTTTGATGTCACATATGCCCACGGTGAACATTCCATGCAGAAAAAACAGGACTGCCTTCTCAGATGTTCCATTGCTCTGGGAAATTTTCAACTAGAACTACTCAAAAAGTCATATTCTGTTTACTTTCTAATGGGATTTTCCAGAAAGCTTTTTGTTAACGACAAACAACCAATGTTTCCCAGCTGTCCAAGATTTTGTAACCCCTGAACACGGACATCATCTACATGCAATTTCTGTTGTCGCTTCTCCTTTTCAGCAGAGAGAATTGACTGTCATAATTACATTTGAGTTGGTGGGCTCTCAAGCTTGATTTTATGACAAAATTCCCAGTGTCTGCCCTAAAGGCCCGGCCCTTTTGATTTGTGAGATGGGAGACTGGAGACAAGCTGCAATTGCTCATCTCCAGTCTCTCACCTTAGAGGATTAGTGACATATTAAAACTGTTGTTGACATAATCCCTTCTATGTCTTTCCATGTGATGGGAATGACCTTGGACCCTTTCAAAAGTCGGATCATTATTCGTTTCTGGGAAACTGTCCACCTACCCCTCCCCTGAGCTAACATGAACACTTACTTCTCACTTAAGGCGAAATGTTGGCCTAGGAGACAGGTAGATGGGCAGTTTCCCAGAAACGTAAAATGATCCCAAAGGTCTGGGCACCGTTTGGGAAAGGAGAAATGATCCTGACTTGTCCCACAACCATCCCAGGCTGTCGAGGAAATCTTTCTGCTTTATCTTAGTTGGCAATATTTAGGGGGACTGAAACACAGTGAAATCCCTAATCATCTGGATAATGACTTTAAAAATTACGCTTTATTTTAAACACATGATTTTTGTAGTAAATATTTTGAAGTCTCAGGTTAATCCAAAATTTCCTTTGTCTCTTGAATTATTAGGACTAAGAAACGAAGAAAATTCTGAATCAAATAAGGTTGAATGCTAGCTAAACCTGAGCATTGATTTTACCTACAACAAAATGACATAGCCTGAGAAACCAGCCAACATTTCTTGATGCCACCACTGCTTTTCCTGCACAAAATGATGTCTGAGAAATGAGCGCAGAAAATCTCCCACACAGCGTGACCAATCAGAAGCACTACCCAGATCTGAAGAGTGATGCATCATCAGTGTGGAATTTCTGGGCTCGTTTGTCAGACGTCATTTTGTGGGGAAAGCAATGGAGGTGTCATGAAATGTTGGGTGTTTCCTCAGGTTAAGTTATATTCTACTATTGATAGCTAGTTAATGCCAGGCATGACGTGAAAGTCCTAAAAACTGCTGATGTTATAATTGGAAAGTTTAAAACCACAGTTGTGAGAGTATAACTGTTACTGAGTAAAAGACTTGTTCGTAAATGCAATGTGTAAACTTCATGATCTCTGTCTTCTCTCAACTTGACTGTTGTCAAAATAAAGTATTATACTGTTTTAACAATTTGTTGTCAGGATTATCAAAATATGATAACAGAGGGAAGAGACAGCAAACTGTTGTTGCTCGAAATATCTACTTTGATTATAAGTCGTAACTGTTCGTCAGTAGGATGCCTAAAATGTGTGCAATTCCACAATTAACTGGTTGGGCTCCATTAAATCCTACACCAATCAAGTCAGAATGCTGAAAACCATTAATGCTAAAACACATGCCACATTTGCATATTAGGGCGCATAGCAAGAAAGAGACACCCTTTGGCGCGCGACCCATTCGGCAAGAAAGAAAGTGAATGTTATAGTAGAACACGAGGTTTTGTTCACATAACCTTTATTAAAACGATCCATAGATTGGAAGTGTTTGTGTATTAAAAAAGGATCCTGCTGAGTAATTAGGGGTACGGACAGCGTGAGAAATGGGCAAGCGCCCCTGAAAATCTCTATTTCTTCAGCGTGTGGCGATTGCTTATGACTCTACCTTTGTTATTGCTTGTACTGCTTTCGTAAATTTTTTTGAAGCTATTGACCCCCAGGTAACGCCCCCTTACCTAAAAATGACTCCCCAAAGCAAATCAATATTTTGCAAATGAACCCCAGCCAAATGAAATCCCTCCACTCCATCCCTCACAGGTAATAAAGGACCAGTCCCTAAGAGGAAAACCTAAAGAGCCAATCTGCGTTTTAGCGATGTGAAAGCAACGTGTAAGGTTCAGCGCCTGGGCTAAGTCTGTTGTGTCCCATTTCTCTCCTCTCCGTTTGTCGCCTTCCCTAGCGTCTGGCGCGTTTCACACGTGGTCGTTTATCTCGCTCACTCTACCAAACATATCTCTACGATAATAACGGACAGCTTGTAATCAGTGGAACAGATCAAACTTTTGGTTGTCTTTATTGGTCCAACCCCATCTTCCCCTGAATTAAAACCCAACCCTCCCCAGTCATTTACATTCACTCCTTTAGGTTGTATTGAAGCTGTTCATTGGCTACCTGATGCCTCTAAGTTTGGTGTGGAAAACTGTCTCTTTGGAACGAAAAACGGGATCCAGCGCTCCATTAGCTCAGTTAAAAGAGCCATGGACCAGTGAACGGATACCCTCAAGAGCTTTCCGGTCGTTTCGCCACAAAGTCATTTCGCTACAAGTCGTTTCACAGCACAGTCTTTACGCATCAATTTGGAAAAAATAAAGAAAACTTTGACCCTTTTTTTTCTTTTTTTAAACTTAAGTGCGCGACATCGAACTTCTTGAATCCGAGCCTACAGTGAAACGAAAAATTCTTCGCAGCGAATCCACTTCATGATGAGGCAAAGGGACTTGTAGCGTGACAACTTTGCAGCCGGAGCGAAACGACCGTATACCCCCACATCACTGTAGGGTTAAACTGGTTCATATTTAAAAATATTATCGCTTTAAAAAGATTTCTATTTCTTTCATCAGTGTACTAATGTTAGCTTCGCAGACTGTATTCTGTAATTTGGGTCGACTAACAACAAATTCAAGACTTGCATGCAACGGAGGTCGAGCGTCAAGCTTGCGTAAACTTGAGAACAACTCCGCGGGGTGGTGAGATGATGGGTACTGACGAAGGCCAGTTAGAACATCGTAGGCAAACTTGCTGTAGTGCGCAGTAGTGGATATGATCATTGGTCGATTAGGATGTGCAAAGCGGCTGGCGATGTCCATTGCGACAGCTGTGTGGGTATCCATTACGTACCCTGTGTGTTTAAAGATGGATCTAATTGTATCCAGACACCTTTCTTCTGAGGTAAAGTCGGCTTTGAATACGGTGGATAGTTCGTTCCTAAGGTCATCTGAAATCTAAGAAAATAGCATTGAACTTTCGAGACGTGCTAAGCTTCTTACATCGTTACAACGTGTCTCACGTCCGGCAACTAGGTTAAAGTTTGAAACAAATGTGCTAATTCGTTGCTTTTTAAACAATTACCAACCAGGATAAGCGTTAAGAGCTAAGTTTTACGCAATTATGACGGCGACGTAAACAAAAACGCGCCCTGCCGGCAAAGCCTTTCTGTTTTCGGCGGCTGCTTGATTTTGACGTCAGTCCTCGGGAGAAGACGAATGCAGGCTCTGCTCGTAAGGTGACAAAAACAGCCTCAGTTAAAAAAAGAAAAGGTACGTGGGCTCTACACTTAATATCAAACAGTACAAGTTGCCGTTGCAAAAAAAAGGCAAAGAAATGTACTGAAATTCAGAACGCGCATGTCGGGTTGGGAAGTTGGGAAGAGGTGCATTCACTGCCCACCTACCCCTCCCCTAAGCCATTAACACTCAGCAAAATGATGGCTTAGGGGAGGGGTAGGTGGGCAGTTTCCTAGAAACGTTTAATGATCTTTTCGTCGTAGTTATAGGAGTTCGTTGCTATTGTCGCCGTCACGGTTGCTTAAAACAGGTTTTGGCCAACCGTTCGCGAATCACGGAGATCTTGGTCAGCAAACCACCGCCAAAGTATGGCAAGAAATGACACAGCTCTTTCGCAAAATTTAACTGCAGCGCGCTGAGAGAGGAAACCTATACATAAGCTGTACTAACAGGGTTATCGCATGGGGAGATGAAGCCTTTACTAGCCTCAGAAAACGGCCGACATTTCGCAGAGCCACAACTGGATCCCCTGCAAATAACGTCTGAGGATTCAACGCAGTAATTCCATACTGATGACGTGTCACTATCCAGATCTGAGCTGTGCTTCTGATTAGTTGAAGCAAATTTCCCTCGCGGCAAGACCAATCAGAAGCACTACCCAGATGTGGTTAGTGACACGTCATCAGTATGGTATTTCTCCGCTTGCTCCTCTGACGACATTTCGCGGGGAAACTAAAGGTGGCGTGAAGAAATGTCGGCCGTTTTCTCAGACAAGCCCTGCACTAACCTTAAAGATCTTGTTTTCTTCCAGCGACCTCATCGAATTGGCCACAACTGTTCCACTCCCAGAAGCGTGATAAATGAGTCTCTCTAGATTGGATGATTTAAGGATATCTATGGATGGTGAGATGGTTTGTTGCAGGCGGCGAGTTGCCATGTTGTATGATCCCGTGTGAAAAAATTCTGTTAGAACGTTGTTCTCGTTTGAAGCACAAACCAGGTTGTTCAAAGGTATGCCCATTTCCTGTGGGAAAAACAGCTCAGAGTTTATAAGGTTTTAAACATACTGACCTTGACTCCAAGCCTCCGAAATACTACGTAAATTTCATTTTGGTAATCATGAATTTTCTTTTTCCAAAAAATTCCCAATCAGATTTGACAAGGCTGGCATAGATAATTCTGCCTTTTTATCCATAGAAAACGCCCCGGATTTTTAAAGACGCATCTCATAATTCTGTCTTATATCTTACCTTGACATAGTACGCCGCCAGAATATTGCCGAAATTTCCAGTTGGTATACATAAATCTGCCATTTCGCCTATCGAAATCGCTCCGGATTTCACAAGATCCAAGTAAGCAGAGGCGTGATACACAACTTGTGGTAGTAGCCTACCCCAGTTTAAGGAGTTCGCGGCACTTAACTGCACACTAAAAGTGTCCATAAGTCTTTTGTTAAAGGATAAATCGTTGAAGATTGTCTTTATTGCAGTTTGACAGAAGTCAAAGTCACCGTTTACTCCAATAACACGCGTATTCGGGTCATCTGCGGATACCATTTGCGCTCTCTGGATTTCACTGACTCCTTCCTTTGGGTAGAGGACCATGACTGGAGTTTTAGGGTTGCCTTTGGAAGTTAATGGAAATATCTATCAGATTAAAGAGGCACCAAGAAACGAATGATGCACTTCCAGGTATCACTAGCCCGCGAAGCTGGTGGGAATAGCAAGCGAGTACTGTAGTTTTTTTATGGTGGAGCCGCGAGAAGATTGGGAAAAAGTCAAATTGCAATTCGTTGCTAGTGGAAATCCCTCGCAGCTCCGCCACCAAGAAAGTACCCCGGACATAACAACCCCACAAGCTACGCGGGCCAAGGTATCACTAAGAACTGGTGCCTGTAAATTTTAGGTACCCAAGGGCATGTGTCGTACCCAAGACGCTTCTTGTGTGAAAACAATTCAACTGGAGCGCAGCAGATTTCATGCGCAAGTCAATTTTGTATCTTGTGTCAACAGCAACTTACTTTTGGCTTATCTAAAAAATCCGCATACAGTTGAAGCTGTCCTGACGACCACTCTCGTCAGCGGACAGCTCTACTTACAGCCGCCTTCACAAAACCCCGTTTACTCAACTTCCATACAAACTCTGTATTCTTACATTCCCGTAAGCGGCCGACTCCACTTACGAACACCTTTTTCGAGTCCCGAGGATCATCCCGAGGGTGTCCGCTTACAAGAACTTCCACTGTATATTCTTTACACTAATCATACATACCCTTGAAACCTTCCAGCACGGCGCTTCCGGTATCACCAGACGTAGCAACAAGAATCAGAAATTTAACAGGTCCATCAGATATCGACCTCCTAGAGATACCTTCGCTAAAAAAATGCGGCGTTAACTGCAAGGCAAGATCCTTGAAGGACGCTGTTGGTCCGTGAAATAGCTCATGCACATAATACTGGTCATTAAGTTTGACAAGAGGAGCTATCGCCTCGTGTAGAAAGTTGTGAGAGTATGCTTTAGTTACCATGGACTGAAGGATAGAGGGATGGAGGTCGGTAGGTGATAACCATGTTTCTAGAATGCGTAAAGCTCTTTCTTTGTAGCTGCAGTTTACAAGTCGTTCCCACTGATCTAAAACAGGAACAAAGGGGCCACTGTGAAAACGGGAAAGAAACTGGGTCGAGTGAACTATCGCAAAGACTTCTGCGAATGTTACTAAGGATAAGGGAAAAATGGTCAATATTTGGTAGCTTAACGCTTTGAGCCCCAAAAGATCCACATACAAATCTCCATACTTTTCTTTTAAGAATAGTTGAGAAAATTTGGTTTAAGATCAAAGCGTTCTCCCTTTGGTAATCAATTTAGTGATTCTCATAACCTTTATTCTTGATGATCTGCTGATGTTGTTAGGAGAAAATTAATGTTGGTCACTCTTGGGACCTAAAGGGTTAAGCAAAGACGTTTTTGAGCGACGTACGTCAACTGGAAGTGAGGCCTTTTCCTAAATAACATTCATAAACGCTACTAAAATTGTACTGCTAAGAGTCCTTTCTCTTGTAAAGAAGATTTGCCGAAAAACCACTGCACAAGGTTGCAAAAACCCACTTCCGGTTAACGTGCGTTGCTCAAAAACGTCTTTGCTTAAGTTCCCTATTAGCTGATCGGCGCGTCTCCTGTAACGATCCCAGACACACTTGCGGGAAACATTTTGACTCTAGTTCCCTCCTCGTTTCTAAACTGGGGTAAGGAAGGGCGAACTTTCACAAGGCTGGTTTATAGAGAAGGCAGCCGCTCTGCAGAGTAGCCAAGGCGGTTGTAAAGAAATTCAACTGAACCATCTAAGAAGGGTCTTCCAAAAACTGTTGAAATCATTGTAGTGTCCCACGCAGACGTTTGTCACGCGTTCTTTCCTCTCAGAAGGAAGGCGTGATGAAGCCCTGAGATCGTCCGCGTGGAAGGCTAGATCATGCTAGTCTCCTACGCTGCCATTTTTGTGTCGTCAAACAACAATCAGGGGCACCCAACGTCAATTTTCGGAAAACATCTGTTCCGGAAGACGATTTGAGATCAAGAATTTTCGGAACATTTGTTGTAGAATTTTTCGCTTGCCTGCCTCTCTTAGGATTTTAGAAAATCTAAAAATTGCCCGTTATTAACGGATTTTTACCCTAAAAAAGTCACCTAAAATTTTCGGGAGCCTTTTTTCTGGCTAAAATTGTCGAAAAGGTAAGTTTTGATCCCTATAATTTTCGGATCACTAGACTTTCAGCTAGGAAATCCGAACAGATGAAAACTTTTTAGGGGATAAAAATATGCCTATATCCAACGTTTAAATACTAAAATACGTTTAACAATGCTGTATTTAAGTGGCTTTGAACTACACTCTCGTTGGGTACCCCTGAATAATGTAGCAGGCGCTTGGGAGTTATAGAAAATGTGCAAAAGCCCGCTAAACAAAGTAAGACACCTAGAAAACTAACCTAAAGAGAGGAGCGGTATCTTTTTTCTGGGTACATATAACCCTCCGTCAGGAGCTAGACCTTCCAATACGACATCTAAAAACCCCGGACTTTCTTCCCCGTCCGCGTATTCCGTTCTTGTGCTGACGTATCCCGCATCACCCGCGGAGTCCATTAGTTCTTGGAACACTTTGCTCGCAATTTCTTCAGCAGAATCACCACGAGCGCAAGTGATGCGAACATCGTAGCTGGACTCGTAAAATTGCTTCCGATATTGAAGAATCTCACTCATACTTATCCCTGAAATAAAAATCACGTGATCAGCTAGTGCCAGGGAACAACGAAGGGGGTGGGAGAGAGGTAAATTACGCTTTATTTTAAACACATGATTTTTGTAGTAAATATTTTGAAGTCTCAGGTTAATCCAAAATTTCCTTTGTCTCTTGAATTATTAGGACTAAGAAACGAAGAAAATTCTGAATCAAATAAGGTTAGCTAAACCCGAGCATTGATTTTACCTACAACAGAATGATACATAGCCTGAGAAACCAGCCAACATTTCTTGATGCCACCACTGCTTTTCCTGCACAAAATGATGTGTGAGAAATGAGTGCAGAAAATCTCCCACACAGCGTGACCAATCAGAAGCACTACCCAGATCTGAAGAGTGATGCATCATCAGTGTGGAATTTCTGGGCTTGTTTGTCAGATGTCATTTTGTGGGGAAAGCAATGGAGGTGTCATGAAATGTTGGGTGTTTTCTCAGGTTAAGTAATTTTCTACTATTGATAGCTAGTTAATGCCAGGCATGACGTGAAAGTCCTAAAAACTGCTGATGTTATAATTGGAAAGTTTAAATCCCACAGTTGTAAGAGTATAACTGTTACTGAGTAAAAGACTTGTTCGTAAATACAATGTGTAAACTTCATGATATCTGTCTTCTCTCAACTCTATTGATGTCAAAATAAAGTATTATACTGTTTTAAGAATTTGCTGTCAGGATTATCAAAATATGATAACAGAGGGGACAGACAGCAAACTGTTGTTGCTCGAAATATCTACTTTGATTATAAGTCGTAACTGTTCTTCAGTAGGATGCCTAAAACGTGTGCAGTTCTACAATTAACTGGTTGGGCTCCATTAGATCCTACACCAATCAAGCCAGAATGCTGAAAACCATTAATGCTAAAACACATGCCACATTTGCATATTGGGGCGCATAGCAAGAAAGAGACACCCTTTTGCGCGCGACCCATTCGGCAAGAAAGAAAGTGGATGTTATTGTAGAACACGGGGTTTTGTTCACATAACCTTTATTAAAACGATCCATAGATCGGAAGTGTATGTGTATTAAAAAAGGATCCTGCTGAGTAATTAGGGGAACGGACGGCTTGAGAAATGGGCAAGCGCCCCAGAAAGTCTCTATTTCTTCAGCTTGTGGCGATTGCTTATGACTCTACATTTGTTATTCCTTGTACTGCTTTCGTAAACTTTTTTGAAGTGACCCCTCAGGTAACGCCCCCTTACCTGAAAATGACTCCCCAGAGCAAATCAATATTTTGAAAATGAACCCCAGCAAAATGAAATCCCCCCACCCCACCCCTCACAGGTAATAAAGGACCAGTCCCTGAGAGGAAAACCTAAAGAGCCAATCTGCGTTTTAGCGATGTGAAAGCACCGTATAAGGTTCAGTGCCTGGGCTAAGTCTGTTGTGTCCCATTTCTCTCCTCTCCGTTTGTCGCCTTCCCTAGCGTCTGGCGCGTTTCACACATGGTCGTTTATCTCGCTCACTCTACCAAACATATCTCTAAGATACTAAAGGAACAGCTTGTAATCAGTGGAACAGATCAAACTTTTCATTGTCTTTATTGGTCCAACCCCATCTTCCCCTGAATTAAAACCCAACCCTCCCTACTCATTTACATTCACTCCTTTAAGTTGTATTGAAGCTGTTCATTGGCTACCTGATGCCTCTAAGTTTGGTGTGGAAAACTGTCTCTTTGGAACGAAAAACGCGATCCAGCGCTCCATTAGCTCAGTTAAAAGAGCCATGGACCAGTGAACGGATACCCCCAGAGCTTTCCGGTCGTTTCGCCACAAAGTCATTTCGCTACAAGTCGTTTCGCAGCACAGTCTTTACGCATCAATTTGGAAAAAATAAAGAAAACTTTGACCCTTTTTTTTCTTTTTTTAAACTTTAGTGCGCGACATCGAACTTCTTGAATCCGAGCCTACAGTGAAACGAAAAATTCTTCACAGCGAATCCACTTCATGATGAAGCAAAGGGACTTGTAGCGTGACAACTTTGCAGCCGGAGCGAAACGACCGTATACCCCCACATCACTGTAGGGTTAAACTGGTTCATATTTAAACATATTATCGCTTTAAAAAGATTTCTATTTCTTTCATCAGTGTACTAATGTTAGCTTCGCAGACTGTATTCTGTAATTTGGGCCGACTAACAACATATTCAAGACTTGCATGCAACGGAGGTCGAGCGTCAAGCTTGCGCAAACTTGAGAACAACTCCGCGGGGTGGTGAGATGATGGGTACTGACGAAGGCCAGTTAGAACATCGTAGGCAAACTTGCTGTAGTGCGCAGTAGCGGATATGATCATTGGTCGATTAGGATGTGCAAAGCGGCTGGCGATGTCCATTGCGACAGCTGTGTGGGTATCCATTACGTACCCTGTGTGTTTAAAGGTGGATCTAATTGTATCCAGACACCTTTCTTCTGAGGTAAAGTCGGCTTTGAATACGGTGGATAGTTCGTTCCTAAGGTCATCTGAAATCTAAGAAAATGGCATTGACACTTCGAGACGTGTTAAGCTTTTAACATCGTTACAGCGTGTCTCACATACGGCAACAAGGTTAAAGTTTGAAACATTGCGGAACTTCGTTGCTTTTTAAACAATTTTCAACCAAGACAAGCGTAAAGGGCTCAGTTCACGCAATTATGACGGCGACGCAAACAAAAATTCGCCCTGTCGGCAGAGCCTTTCTCTTTTCGGCTGCTTGAATTTGGCGTCAGTCCTCGCGAGAAGACGAATACAGGCTCTGCTCGTAAGGTGACAAAAACAGCCTCAGTTAAAAAAAAGGTACGTGGGCTCTACACTTAATATCAAACAGTACAAGTTGCCGTTGCAAAAAAAGGCAAAGAAATGTACTGAAATTCAGAACGCGCATGTCGGGTTGGGAAGTTGGGAAGAGGTGCATTCACTGCCCACCTACCCCTCCCCTAAGCCATTAACACTCAGCAAAATGATGGCTTAGGGGAGGGGTAGGTGGGCAGTTTCCTAGAAACGTTTAATGATCTTTTCCTTGTAGTTATAGGAATTCCTTGCTATTGTCGCCGTCACGATTGCTTAAAATAAGTTTTGGCCAACCGTTCGCGAATCACGGAGATCTTGGTCAGCAAACCACCGCCAAAGTATGGCAAGAAATGACACAGCTCTTTCGCGAAATGTAACTGCAGCGCGCTGAGAGAGGAAACCTAGACACAAGCTGTACTAACAGGGTTATCGCATGGGGAGATGAAGCCTTTACTAGCCTCAGAAAACGGTCGACATTTCGCAGAGCCACAACTGGTTTCCCCTGCAAATAACGTCTGAGGATTCAACGCAGAAATTCCATACTGATGACGCGTCACCATCCAGATCTGAGCTGTACTTCTGATTGGTTGAAGCAAATTTCCCTCGCGGCACGACCAATCAGAAGAACTACACAGATGTGGGTAGTGACACGTCATCAGTATGGTATTTCTCCGCTTGCTCCTCTGACGACATTTCGCGGGGAAACTAAAGGTGGCGTGAAGAAATGTCGGCCGTTTTCTCAGACAAGCCCTGCACTAACCTTAAAGATCTTGTTTTCTTCCAGCGACCTCATCAAATTGGCCACAACTGTTCCACTCCCAGAAACGTGATAAATGAGTCTCTCTAGATTTGATGATTTAAGGATATCTATGGATGGTGAGATGGTTGGTTGTAGGCGACGAGTTGCCATGTTGTATGATCCCGTATGAAAAAATTCTGTTAGAACGTTGTTCTCGTTTGACGCACAAACCAGGTTGTTGAAAGGTATGCCCATTTCCTGTGGAAAAAACAGCCCAGAGTTTATAAGGTTTTTTTACATACTGACCTTGACTCCACGCCTCCGGAATATTGCGTAAATTTCAATTTGGTAGTCACGAATTTGCCATTCCACAGAATTCTCAATCAGATTTGGCTGATTGACAAGGCTGGCATAGACAATTCTGCTTTTAACTCATAGAAAACGCCTCAGATTTGTAAACTACCATCTCATAAAGTTAAGAATATATGGAAATCATATATGAGAACTACCGGGTGTAGAATTATATGAACGAAGATCATCGCAGTTATAGACGCAACCTTTGCAGTTGAGATAAAAAAGAAAGAAAGCCCGAAAAAATAATTACAATATCTTACCTTGACATAGTACGCCGCCAGAATATTGCCGAAATTTCCTGTTGGTACACATAAATCTGCCATCTCGCCCATCGAAATCGCTCCGGATTTCACAAGATCCAAGTAAGCAGAGGCGTGATACACAACTTGTGGTAGTAGCCTACCCCAGTTTAAGGAGTTCGCGGCACTTAATTGCACACTAAAGGTGTCCATAAGCTTTTTGTTAAAGGATAAATCGTTGAAGATTGTCTTTATTGCAGTTTGACAGAAGTCAAAGTCACCGTTTACTCCAATAACACGCGTATTCGGGTCATCTGCGGATACCATTTGCGCTTTCTGGATTTCACTGACTCCTTCTTTTGGGTAGAGGACCATGACTGGAGTTTTAGGGTTACCTTTGGAAGTTAATGGAATTATCTATCAGATTAAAGAGGCACCAAGAAACGAATGATGCACTTCCAGATATCACTAGCCCGCGAAGCTGGTGGGAATAGCAAGCGAGTACTGTAGTTTTTTGATGGTGGAGCCGCGAGAAGATTGGGAAAAAGTCAAATTGCATTTCGCCGCTAGCGGAAATCCCTCGCAGCTCCGCCACCAAGAAAGTACCCCGGACATAACAACCCCGCAGGCTACGCAGGCCAAGGTATCACTAAGAACTGGTGCCTGTAAATTTTAGGTACCCAAGGGCATGTGTCGTACCCAATACGCTTCTCGTGTGAAACAAATTCAACTGGAGCGCAGCAGATTACAAGAGCTTCCACTGTATATTCTTCACACTAATCATACATACCCTTGAAACCTTCCAGCACGGCGCTTCCGGTATCACCAGACGTAGCCACAAGAATCAGAAATTTAACAGGTCCATCAGATGCCGACCTCCTAGAGATACCTTCGCTAAAAAAATGCGGCGTTAACTGCAAGGCAAGATCCTTGAAGGACGCTGTTGGTCCGTGAAATAGCTCATGCACATAATACTGGTCATTAAGTTTGACAAGAGGAGCTATCATCTCGTGTTGAAAGTTGTGAGAGTATGCTTTAGTTACCATGGACTGAAGGATAGAGGGATGGAGGTCGGTAGGTGATAACCATGTTTCTAGAATGCGTAAAGCTCCTTCTTTGTAGCTGCAGTTTACAAGTCTTTCCCACTGACCTAAAATAGGAACAAAGGCGCCACTGTGAAAGCTACACACTGTAGAAAGAAACTGGACCGAGTTAACTGTCGCAAAGACTTCTGGGATTGTTACTAGGGATAAGGGGAAAATGGTCAATAGGATCTTAAGCAAAGACGTTTTTGAGCGACGTACGTCAACCGGAAGTGTAGTCCGCTACACAGCCGTTTTTAGTTTCGTCACGCAACGCTCCTCCCCACTAACGTGACGACACTAAAAACGTCTGTGTAGCAGACTACCGGAAGTGAGGCCTTTTCCCAATTAACATGCCTAAACGTTACTAAAATTGTACTGCTAAGTGTCCGTTCTCTTGTAAAGAAGATTTGCCGAAAAATTGGGTAAAACCACTGCCCAAGGATGCAAAAAGCCGACTTCCGGTTAACGCCTATCGCTCAAAAACGTCTTTTCTTAAGTTCCCTATTAGCTGATTGGCGCGTCCCCTGTAACAATCTCACAATTGCGGGACGCATTTCGGCAACTAGTTCCCTCCTCGTTTCTAAACTGGGGTAAGGAAGGGCTAACTTTCACACGGCTGTCTAAGTTGGTTTATAGAGAAGGCAGTCGGTCTTCAGAGTAGCCGAGGAGGTTGTAAAGAAATTCAGCTGGACCATCTACGAAGGGTCTTCCAAAAACTATTGAGATCACCCTAGTTTCCCACGCAGACGTTAATTATGCGTTCTTTCCTCGCAAAAGGAACGCGTGATGAAGCCCGGAGAACTTCTGCGCGGAAGGCTAGATCATCCTAGTCTCCAACGCTGCCATTTTTGTGTCGTCAAGCAACAATCAGGGGCACCCAACGTCAATTTTCGGAAAATATCTGTTCGGAAGACGATTTGAGATCTAGAATTTTCGGTACATTTGTTGGAAAATTTCTTGCTTGCCTGCCTAGTCTCCTAGCATTTTAGAACATCTAAAAAATGGTATAATTGCCCGTTTTTAACGGATTTGTCACCTAGAATTTTCGGGAGCCTTTTTTCTGGCTGAAATTTTCGAAAAGGTAAGTTTTGATCCGTATAATTTTCGGAAGACTAGACTTTCAGCTAGGAAATCCGAACAGATGAAAACTTTTTAGGGGATGAAAATATGCCTATACACACTGTTTAAATACTAAAATACATTTAACAATACTATGTTTAAGTGGTTTTGAACTATATTTTCGTTGGATGCCCCTAAACAATGTAGCAGGCGCTTGAGAGTTATGGAAAATGCGCAAAAGCCCGCTAAACAAAGTAAGACACCTGGAAAACTAACCTAAAGAGAGGTGCGGTATGTTTTTTCTCGGTACATATAACCCTCCATCAGGAGCTAGACCTTCCAATACAACATCTAAAAACCCTGGACTTTCTTCCCCATCCGGGTATTCCGTTCTTGTGCTAACGTATCCCGCATCACCACCCGCGGAGTCCATTAGTTGTTGGAAAACTTTTCCCGCAATTTCTTCAGCAGAATCACCTCGAGCGCAGGTGATGCGAACATCGTAGCTGGACTCGTAAAATTGCTTCCGATATTGAAGAATCTCACTCATACTTATCCCTGAAATAAAAATCACGTGATCAGCTAGTGCCAGGGAACAACGAAGGGGGTGGGAGAGAGGTGTATTTCTCCGCTTGCTCCTCTGACGACATTTCGCGGGGAAACTAAAGGTGGCGTGAAGAAATGTCGGCCGTTTTCTCAGACAAGCCCTGCACTAACCTTAAAGATCTTGTTTTCTTCCAGCGACCTCATCAAATTGGCCACAACTGTTCCACTCCCAGAAACGTGATAAATGAGTCTCTCTAGATTTGATGATTTAAGGATATCTATGGATGGTGAGATGGTTGGTTGTAGGCGACGAGTTGCCATGTTGTATGATCCCGTATGAAAAAATTCTGTTAGAACGTTGTTCTCGTTTGACGCACAAACCAGGTTGTTGAAAGGTATGCCCATTTCCTGTGGAAAAAACAGCCCAGAGTTTATAAGGTTTTTTTACATACTGACCTTGACTCCACGCCTCCGGAATATTGCGTAAATTTCAATTTGGTAGTCACGAATTTGCCATTCCACAGAATTCTCAATCAGATTTGGCTGATTGACAAGGCTGGCATAGACAATTCTGCTTTTAACTCATAGAAAACGCCTCAGATTTGTAAACTACCATCTCATAAAGTTAAGAATATATGGAAATCATATATGAGAACTACCGGGTGTAGAATTATATGAACGAAGATCATCGCAGTTATAGACGCAACCTTTGCAGTTGAGATAAAAAAGAAAGAAAGCCCGAAAAAATAATTACAATATCTTACCTTGACATAGTACGCCGCCAGAATATTGCCGAAATTTCCTGTTGGTACACATAAATCTGCCATCTCGCCCATCGAAATCGCTCCGGATTTCACAAGATCCAAGTAAGCAGAGGCGTGATACACAACTTGTGGTAGTAGCCTACCCCAGTTTAAGGAGTTCGCGGCACTTAATTGCACACTAAAGGTGTCCATAAGCTTTTTGTTAAAGGATAAATCGTTGAAGATTGTCTTTATTGCAGTTTGACAGAAGTCAAAGTCACCGTTTACTCCAATAACACGCGTATTCGGGTCATCTGCGGATACCATTTGCGCTTTCTGGATTTCACTGACTCCTTCTTTTGGGTAGAGGACCATGACTGGAGTTTTAGGGTTACCTTTGGAAGTTAATGGAATTATCTATCAGATTAAAGAGGCACCAAGAAACGAATGATGCACTTCCAGATATCACTAGCCCGCGAAGCTGGTGGGAATAGCAAGCGAGTACTGTAGTTTTTTGATGGTGGAGCCGCGAGAAGATTGGGAAAAAGTCAAATTGCATTTCGCCGCTAGCGGAAATCCCTCGCAGCTCCGCCACCAAGAAAGTACCCCGGACATAACAACCCCGCAGGCTACGCAGGCCAAGGTATCACTAAGAACTGGTGCCTGTAAATTTTAGGTACCCAAGGGCATGTGTCGTACCCAATACGCTTCTCGTGTGAAACAAATTCAACTGGAGCGCAGCAGATTACAAGAGCTTCCACTGTATATTCTTCACACTAATCATACATACCCTTGAAACCTTCCAGCACGGCGCTTCCGGTATCACCAGACGTAGCCACAAGAATCAGAAATTTAACAGGTCCATCAGATGCCGACCTCCTAGAGATACCTTCGCTAAAAAAATGCGGCGTTAACTGCAAGGCAAGATCCTTGAAGGACGCTGTTGGTCCGTGAAATAGCTCATGCACATAATACTGGTCATTAAGTTTGACAAGAGGAGCTATCGCCTCGTGTAGAAAGTTGTGAGAGTATGCTTTAGTTACCATGGACTGAAGGATAGAGGGATGGAGGTCGGTAGGTGATAACCATGTTTCTAGAATGCGTAAAGCTCTTTCTTTGTAGCTGCAGTTTACAAGTCGTTCCCACTGATCTAAAACAGGAACAAAGGGGCCACTGTGAAAACGGGAAAGAAACTGGGTCGAGTGAACTATCGCAAAGACTTCTGCGAATGTTACTAAGGATAAGGGAAAAATGGTCAATATTTGGTAGCTTAACGCTTTGAGCCCCAAAAGATCCACATACAAATCTCCATACTTTTCTTTTAAGAATAGTTGAGAAAATTTGGTTTAAGATCAAAGCGTTCTCCCTTTGGTAATCAATTTAGTGATTCTCATAACCTTTATTCTTGATGATCTGCTGATGTTGTTAGGAGAAAATTAATGTTGGTCACTCTTGGGACCTAAAGGGTTAAGCAAAGACGTTTTTGAGCGACGTACGTCAACTGGAAGTGAGGCCTTTTCCTAAATAACATTCATAAACGCTACTAAAATTGTACTGCTAAGAGTCCTTTCTCTTGTAAAGAAGATTTGCCGAAAAACCACTGCACAAGGTTGCAAAAACCCACTTCCGGTTAACGTGCGTTGCTCAAAAACGTCTTTGCTTAAGTTCCCTATTAGCTGATCGGCGCGTCTCCTGTAACGATCCCAGACACACTTGCGGGAAACATTTTGACTCTAGTTCCCTCCTCGTTTCTAAACTGGGGTAAGGAAGGGCGAACTTTCACAAGGCTGGTTTATAGAGAAGGCAGCCGCTCTGCAGAGTAGCCAAGGCGGTTGTAAAGAAATTCAACTGAACCATCTAAGAAGGGTCTTCCAAAAACTGTTGAAATCATTGTAGTGTCCCACGCAGACGTTTGTCACGCGTTCTTTCCTCTCAGAAGGAAGGCGTGATGAAGCCCTGAGATCGTCCGCGTGGAAGGCTAGATCATGCTAGTCTCCTACGCTGCCATTTTTGTGTCGTCAAACAACAATCAGGGGCACCCAACGTCAATTTTCGGAAAACATCTGTTCCGGAAGACGATTTGAGATCAAGAATTTTCGGAACATTTGTTGTAGAATTTTTCGCTTGCCTGCCTCTCTTAGGATTTTAGAAAATCTAAAAATTGCCCGTTATTAACGGATTTTTACCCTAAAAAAGTCACCTAAAATTTTCGGGAGCCTTTTTTCTGGCTAAAATTGTCGAAAAGGTAAGTTTTGATCCCTATAATTTTCGGATCACTAGACTTTCAGCTAGGAAATCCGAACAGATGAAAACTTTTTAGGGGATAAAAATATGCCTATATCCAACGTTTAAATACTAAAATACGTTTAACAATGCTGTATTTAAGTGGCTTTGAACTACACTCTCGTTGGGTACCCCTGAATAATGTAGCAGGCGCTTGGGAGTTATAGAAAATGTGCAAAAGCCCGCTAAACAAAGTAAGACACCTAGAAAACTAACCTAAAGAGAGGAGCGGTATCTTTTTTCTGGGTACATATAACCCTCCGTCAGGAGCTAGACCTTCCAATACGACATCTAAAAACCCCGGACTTTCTTCCCCGTCCGCGTATTCCGTTCTTGTGCTGACGTATCCCGCATCACCCGCGGAGTCCATTAGTTCTTGGAACACTTTGCTCGCAATTTCTTCAGCAGAATCACCACGAGCGCAAGTGATGCGAACATCGTAGCTGGACTCGTAAAATTGCTTCCGATATTGAAGAATCTCACTCATACTTATCCCTGAAATAAAAATCACGTGATCAGCTAGTGCCAGGGAACAACGAAGGGGGTGGGAGAGAGGTGTACTTGGACCGATTATGGTGAAGGTTTTTTTTTTTCTCAAAATCAGTAAAGAAATCCGTAAAGCGTGGCGTAAGAGTCTTACGCGCGCGAAGCGCGCGAGCCTCACACGCCCGTAGCGTCTCTCCCCAGTCTGGCTTTCTGTTTTCAGCCTCGTTCCAGACCTTTTGTTTCACTGCTAACGTGTACTTCAATACGCAAAAATACGGAATGTTTTGCATTCTAGGTGAAGGTGTGCCACTGGAATTTTGAAACTCTTTTTTTTCATACTTTACCTTTATTGAAACATCTACAGACCTACAAAGAGGCGACCATCACGCACTCTATACCCTATCACATTCATCAGCACAATTTAGACTAGAAACAGAGAATACCTACCCACCGGACTACAAATTTTACACTTAAATTGTTGCCATAGCAGCTTGTAAATGTGTGGGTTAAAATTAACAATCCATGCGCCTATTGTGAAACTATAAGACTTCTATCTCTGAAAATTATCGCTTTTTTTCTTCAACGGGAACCTAAACTTGTACCCAAATCTCCTACGGTCACACTGACACCAGTAAGATCTGGGTACAAGATTTCCAGGAAAACCATTCAAAGATGTCATTGAACGGCAGGCTCGAAAGAAATTTTATTTTTCTCCTGAAGTTTTCTCAATATTATTTTCTGCCAGCTATATTTTGAATATTGAACTGTACTGTATCTCTTAGAAATTTAAGTGGCAAACTTATATTTTGTAAATCACTTCACCATCATTCTGTCCAACAATGCGATTCACTTTCATCTCAGCTAGCCGATTCAAAATATCACCATCCTCCACATCCAAATACACAACCGTCCCAAGAGATTTGACATGTTCCATAGCTTTCTTGTGCATTGGATTAGAACCACTCAGAGAAATCACTGCGTCATTAGTAGAATACTGCAAGAGAGCCTGACCCTCGGCATTGACAAAGCCATCTGATCCAACCTGTGAGAGCTACATGTATAAGAGAATACAAGTCAGCATTAAAGGAATTCTTACCTAGTTGCTCCACACTTTAAGCTCTTAAAACAGCTAACAGTAAACCCAAAAGTAGCTCAAAGAACATTTAACAATTTCTCCTCATAATAATAATGTTCAATAACACAGAAAAGATTAGGAAATAAAGCATGTTTAATACTACAGCAAAGTTAAGGGTTCCAACATGATTTGTGGAAAACATAATAATGAAAGGCAGTTTCCTTTATGACGCTAAATGATGGCTAATAACTGCTGGAATGCAATAGCCTTTCTCATTGGCTCTTGAATTACTGCATATTTTGACTGAATAGATGGACTTCAAGNCAGTAAAGAAATCCGTAAAGCGTGGCGTAAGAGTCTTACGCGCGCGAAGCGCGCGAGCCTCACACGCCCGTAGCGTCTCTCCCCAGTCTGGCTTTCTGTTTTCAGCCTCGTTCCAGACCTTTTGTTTGACTGCTAACGTGTACTTCAATACGCAAAAATACGGAATGTTTTGCATTCTAGGTGAAGGTGTGCCACTGGAATTTTGAAACTCTTTTTTTTCATACTTTACCTTTATTGAAACATCTACAGACCTACAAAGAGGCGACCATCACGCACTCTATACCCTATCACATTCATCAGCACAATTTAGACTAGAAACAGAGAATACCTACCCACCGGACTACAAATTTTACACTTAAATTGTTGCCATAGCAGCTTGTAAATGTGTGGGTTAAAATTAACAATCCATGCGCCTATTGTGAAACTATAAGACTTCTATCTCTGAAAATTATCGCTTTTTTTCTTCAACGGGAACCTAAACTTGTACCCAAATCTCCTACGGTCACACTGACACCAGTAAGATCTGGGTACAAGATTTCCAGGAAAACCATTCAAAGATGTCATTGAACGGCAGGCTCGAAAGAAATTTTATTTTTCTCCTGAAGTTTTCTCAATATTATTTTCTGCCAGCTATATTTTGAATATTGAACTGTACTGTATCTCTTAGAAATTTAAGTGGCAAACTTATATTTTGTAAATCACTTCACCATCATTCTGTCCAACAATGCGATTCACTTTCATCTCAGCTAGCCGATTCAAAATATCACCATCCTCCACATCCAAATACACAACCGTCCCAAGAGATTTGACATGTTCCATAGCTTTCTTGTGCATTGGATTAGAACCACTCAGAGAAATCACTGCGTCATTAGTAGAATACTGCAAGAGAGCCTGACCCTCGGCATTGACAAAGCCATCTGATCCAACCTGTGAGAGCTACATGTATAAGAGAATACAAGTCAACATTAAAGGAATTCTTACCTAGTTGCTCCACACTTTAAGCTCTTAAAACAGCTAACAGTAAACCCAAAAGTAGCTCAAAGAACATTTAACAATTTCTCCTCATAATAATAATGTTCAATAACACAGAAAAGATTAGGAAATAAAGCATGTTTAATACTACAGCAAAGTTAAGGGTTCCAACATGATTTGTGGAAAACATAATAATGAAAGGCAGTTTCCTTTATGACGCTAAATGATGGCTAATAACTGCTGGAATGCAATAGCCTTTCTCATTGGCTCTTGAATTACTGCATATTTTGACTGAATAGATGGACTTCAAGGCTGTCAATTACTTTAGACCAGGACATCTTTGGAAAAAGTAGACAAAGATTAGGCAGTTTCTGATCATAGCAGTATAGCAGAACTGTTATACACCGCAGATTTACATTTATCTCCACCCCTGGCCCCTGTGGGACTTGAACAAGGTTGGAATGGATAATAATTTTTAGACTTATAGAAATAACGGAACTGACTGGACAAACGGAATGTTCAAAGCAGCTTTTTATCTTTCTTTCTTTCTTGAATCACAGTCCTTACCTTATCTGCAACTGTCATTCCCCACACAGTTTCCAAAACATCATCATCAACATCAACTACTTTTCTTCCCAAGCGATGTCCCAGGATTCTACCTACAGTTGTTTTGCCAGCTCCAGGACTCCCCATTAAAATAACATTGTTGCCCTGTTGTTATAAAAAACAAAAGACTTGAGCTGGCATGAGATTAAAGTTTTCAATCTGCAGGCAACAAGAGAGTTGGCAGACATAAACTGATGAGAAAATGCCATAATGGGATATCAAAGGGCTTGTAACTGATTCTTATTAGTTGTGTATGTTAGTAATTCATTTTAGAAGTTCAGGCAGCTTAAAAAGGTCCAATAACAACCTGTTCAAGACCCTAAAAAGTGAGATTGTATACCCTGTTTACAACTCAAGACCCTAAAAACCATGCCCTGTTTAGCAGCATATAATAATATTGTTTAGGCCAAATAAGGGAGTCCCAACAGGGTAAGGGGTCACTGTTAAGAAAATGGCTTTGCCCAGTGTATTGGCGGGTCAACTTCATACACCCCATTATAAAAACAAAACTGCATCACCAACACCTAAAAATTTTGGGGGGGAGGGGAGGGTCAAAATTAAATAACTTATTAAAAACGCGGGGCACTTGCTATTTTCTGGCCTGGGAGGGGGCCCTTGCAATTTTTTTTAAATCCTTGCCAAATATTTTTCCCTACCCCTCTCCCCCTTTTCACATAATATTGGCCCGGTAACCTTTTTATGTCTAGTCACCTTTGATCGAAATCCGCGAGTCAGAAATCCTTTCTGATAGCTAAGAAATCGTCTTGAATGTTTTTTCCTCGGGCTTGTAGCGTAAAGACGAGAGCATCTTTCAAAAAAACCCGTCACCATCCGGGAAGAAGACACCCGTCGACCGGGTAAAAAGCACCTCGGAAGCCGTGGTAGTAATGTCATCTTAATGGACAACATGAAATGTAGGTCGAGTAGAAATCAACTGCATGATTAAAATGGGAGTAACTTAGGCATATGATGGCCATACAACTGCCACGTGTTAACCTACCCGACCGTCACGAAAGTTTACCCACGAGGGAAAGTTTGGTTATACTAAATATGTTTTTACATGAGGGGATAGTTTGTAGAACTGCTGACCAATTACTGCGGTCGCATTTGTCTGGCACGTGGAGAATTTCCATGATGGCTCCTTGATCATTGATCCTGTTCGAGTTTTTGGAAAAAAAATCTGTGAATGAGAACTATTTGGAAGCGGTGTTTTCGTCGATGAGCAAAAGCGTAGGTATTTTGTGGATTTTTAAGCACATTGACTTTTTGCTTTGTTGTGAATCATCATTGGAAACATACCAACATTACAACAACAGTGATGTTTACAATCGTATGAACTAAGCTCATGTTGTTTACCAGATGCTGTTTTTTCTCTAGGAAGACAAAATTCCTTCATCCAACACAACTATGAGGTAACTGGTAGACAAAAACAAAACATTTATGGTGCCGAGTTTGATTTTTGTGTTTTTTACAGTTTAGTAAATACATGTAATTATTCCTCCTATCACGTATGGTGACAGTACCGTATTTCCTCGAATTATACTACTACATGAGAAATTTCTGCAATTTGTTTGGCTTAGAGGAGTGGTATTTCAGCTTAATTTGAAATACCTACATGTGAAAATTACAAACCTTTTGTGGGTAGTAGTATAAACAAATAATAGCATGATTTGTAGTGATATTTGGCATAAATGTGATATTTCAAAATTGTCTCAAATTTCACTCACCTAACGGCTCGTGAAATTTCATATAACAATTATTTTGAAATATCACCCTTGGCATGCCAACTATCACTACAAATCATGCTATTACCCATACTGATAGCCAGGGACAATTATTATTATTTTCGCACCAATAGGGGCCAGTTACTTGAGGGAGTCGATTATTACAAATATTGCTTACTGGAGGTCGTTCCCTACATATTTTGTATTGTTATCCCATTAAATAAAAAAAAATCACCTCATCAAATAAACTGACCATAGGGTTTTAAGAAATAGAAGATAGCGAGGGGTTGGGGGTGGGGGGGCGATTATTTTAAATATTTTCATCAAAGGGGGGTGATTATTCAAGAGGGGTGATTAATCAAGGGATGGCTATTATTGGAGGAAATATGGTATGTTATTGTTTTGTAGGACCCAGTGCCCTGTTGGACATGAACCTGTGGATTTAAGTGATTCAATAGATTGTCCGGCTGTTGAAGATGTTTTATCAGAAAATGACAGCTCATCACTTTGGCTGATCAAATTACCACATGATGTAAGTTATGCGTAGCATAGCATATTTTTAAGTGTGTTACACTTTTTTTGATTGTAAATAACAAAAGAGACATCAAGCAGATGAGGGAAAATTAGATGCTAGCTAGTCACTGCAGTCTAAGGGCATCAAGGGTACCTATGTGACCTTTGAAATGAAAACCACTTGAAAATATATTTTTGTCAAATTATCAACAATACTGATCTTGCTTGTTTAGGGGTATAGAATGGTAAATTTGAGACTTTGCGAGACTGTGAGACCCTGGTTTCAAAATTGGAGATCAAGGCTTAAGCGTTTTTATCAATTCCAAGCCCAAGACTTTACTTCTAAGAAATCTGAGCGCAAGACTCTAATTTTGAGATAATGAAATGAAATGACCAAAAACTAGCAGAAGCCCACCAATATTCTGCCTTGTCTTGTTTTACTGTCTTAATCTATTATTTCAGTTTGATAAGCTGTGCCCATGAACTCTGAAAATTCGACTCCTGAAGGCCAAATGGAAAGAAAAAATGACAAATCGAGGACTTCGAGACCCATCAGCAAAAAAATCAGAGACTTTGTGAAGAAAAATCACCCAAAAATGAGACTTCTAGACCCATAAAAAAACGCCTGCAAGATTTCGAGATCGGGCCAAAATTTTGCAAGACCCATGCTTCTCAAGGTACCATTCTATACCCCTTTGTTTGAACTGTTTAATTGAAGAGAGTCTCTTTCAAAGTGGGGTGGATTTGAAAGATTTTGTAGCGTTGAAAATTATATTAAGAAAGCCATCTTATTCTACTTTATTTATTTATATTTACTGATTTATTTTATTTGTTTATTTGTTTGCTTTTATTCAGTTTGATGTCTCAAGTTTGTCTGGCCAGAATGTTATTTTAAATGGCTCACAAGATTTGCTCTATGTTAGTGAAAAGGTAAATAACATTTTGCCTCCAATAAACACCTTGGTTAATGTCAGGTTAGAAAATGTTTCTTTCCAAAATAGTACTTCTCATTCTTTGAACTCTTTGTGGGTTTGGTATTATGAAGTGAAATTTGCTGATGATCACTGCTTTTATAAGCCTTTATGGATAAAAAATAATGTTGTCCTTGTATTTCTTTTTTTTTTTAATTTATAGAATAAAGACAAGAGATATGAAATCCAGTCAAAGGAAGATTCTGGTGCTGAGGTATGTACTATGATCCACTTTTCATCAATCCTTCCTGCAACTGCTATAAAATTACTTATATATTCCAGCACTTTGCTATGAGGTCAATTTATAGCTGTACTATCCCTAATTTAGATGGATACCATGTTCCCCTTTCTTCTGAAATTTTGAAATATACCAGTCAATTATAAGCCCTCTGGTGATTATTAGCAGTGGAAACAGGCCAGAAGGGCTACCCTTAAGCTTTGGACTGGATGAGTGACCCTCCTCCCCCCTCCCCCACCCAAATGTCTTGAGATCCATTTTGGCCACCGGTCATTAGCAAGGGTGGCACAGTGGTGAGAGCACTCGCCTCCCACCAATGTGGCCTGGGTTTCGATTCCTGGCGTCAACGCCATGTGTGGGTTTAGTTTGTTGTTGGTTCCCTGCCTTGCTCTGAGAGGTTTTTCTCCGGGTACTCCAGTTTTCCCCTCTCCTTAAAAGCCAACACTTCCAAATTCCAATTCGATCTGGAAATATGCACAGACACGTTTCAGTGAGTTCTTATAAACTCCATAGTGCTCCATGAGTAAACAAATTACAATGTGCAATTTATTATTATTATTATTATTAATTTCATTTACTTACAGTATATACTGGGTTTTTTAAAAATTCTTTTTAGTTATCTTCTTTCTCTGTTGTTCTTCCATCATCACGGAAAAAGTCACTGCGTGCTGGTAAGAATATAAATGACTGACACTTAACAGACATTACAATAATACAATAACAAAATCAATAATGCTGTTACTACAAAAATTCTGCTGAACAGGTTTCATTTGAATGGTTATCCTATAAATCCTTTTTTGAGCATTGACAGTAAAATTTTAGGCCGTTTGAGGGGACCTTCTAATAGGTAAGTACCACACGGAGGTATAGCTGAAGAGGTTTCATTTAAGTGGTATTAATAACCTCATATGATTTCATCCACAGACTCAAAAGTTAGAAATACAGACTAAATTAATGGTACCACTAGAAAGTAATGCCATTGTCCACAGTCTCAAAAGTTAGTTCATATTTGATTTGGAAACTCTGAGGGGAAGGTTGCACTCCTAGGCATTCCATCTTTGTGAGCCATTTGTTGCAAATTTACGAGTTCATGTCACCTCTCCTTTCTGTTTTCAGTCAGCACACTGCATGGCCAGATGAGTGTTATTCAGTCAGTGTGTGTGCCACCATCCACCCTGCCTGATGACTCACTGACTGTCCAAAGACAGACACACAATGAATATATCAAGAAGTGGAAACCATTTGGATATAGTATGTGTTTAGAATTTGTATATGTTCGTAGATAAATTTTGTACCAAATGAACTGCATGTAACTCGCATGTGCCATATGATTAGAAAATGGTGTAAATAGAAAATCGATGAATGAAGGGGTTACTAGTTTCTATAGAAACTGTGGTTTGTGTTGGTGGTTTAGTCAAATGAAAAGATCTGGTGTTGTCAACATAGTTGATTGGCCACTGTAGCCTGTGAACAGGCTCTCTGTTTGGGGGAAAAAGTAGCAAGGAAAGGGAAGTTCCCCGCTCGACCAAACGCCTGTTCACAGGCTAGGCCACTGAAGCTGTCATCTCAAGCGCTGGCCCTTCGTTAGAGCAAAAATCTTAACTAAAGGTGAGAAGGTTCTTATTTAATGGGTCCATGATATACGTTGTGTATGCTCCACTGTAGAAAAGAGAGGGAGACTGAGTCGAGTTAACTTTCGCAAAGACTTCTGGGATTGTTACTAGGGACAAGAAAAAAATTGGCCAATAGCTGACAGGCATGCCCCCTGTAACTATCCCAGAAACAATTGCGAGACGCATTTCGGCTTCAGTTCTCTTCTCGTTTCTAAAGTGGGAAATTGCTTGTTACTAGGGAAACCCCCGCAAAAGCTGGAAGGAAAGATAGTTAAAAAATCATCAGAGCATCTTGAAGGTGGTACTCCGGGAGTGCGAAAAAAGCACAAAGACAAAAGATCGTCAAATTTGGAAAGAACTGCAGTGGTGGAAAATGAATTGGAGGAAAAAAGGAAACGTGATTCTCCAAAAACGAAGAAAAAAGACAAGGAGAGACAAGAGATTGATTTGTCGCGAGTGAAAACTGAACCAGGTCTGGACAAAACGAGAAAACGCAAAGGGGATGAAAAAGGTGAAAGCGACGACGATGGATGTGGACTTGTACCGGCAAAACAAAAGAGAGAGAAAAATAGGGAAAGCTTTGTGGGTGATGTAATGGTGAAACGAGAAAGGGACCAGAGCGATGATGTGTTTGAAGGTGATAATGACTTTGATTTAGCACGTGTGAAACGTGAACCCGGAGAAACACCCAAAAAAGCGAAAAAGCGAAAGAAACACAAAGCGGACTAGCATGTTCGAGAAAGGGACCAGAGCGATGATGTGTTTGAAGGTGATAATGACTTTGATTTAGCACGTGTGAAACGTGAACCCGGAGAAACACCCAAAAAAGCGAAAAAGCGAAAGAAACACAAAGCGGACTAGCATGTAAAGAAATAGAGTGATAAAACGTCGAATTGGCTTTCATATGATGGATTCATTTGAAAGGTTGCTCTGCTTGGTACATCTTGGAATTGATGACAAATGTACTGAACGTTGACTGGCCTGAATAGTTCGACTGAAAAGCACGTGACAGAAACATATAGGAAGTGCTTGGCAACCCAAATTGGAATGACGATGGCTTGTCACAACATTTTTTAGTGTAAACAACTGCATTTCTGACGGGAAGTAGATCAGTTACATGTGTGATATCATACGATTTTGTACATCTTCAGCCTTTAAGGTTAAAGACGTTAAAGCCATCTTGCACAGCACAGTAAACAGTACCATAGGAAAGTCAGGTACTGCTGAAGAGGTTTCATTTGAATAGTCACACAATATGATGTCATCTGCGAACTCAAAATTAAGAACTAATACTAAATAAAAGTACCATGTGAAAGTACTGCTGAAGAGGTTTCATTTGAATGGTAACACGATAGGATTTCATCCACAGACTCAAAAGTTAGAGCTACATACTAAATAAATAGTACCATGTGAAAGTACTGCTGAAGAGGTTTCATTTGAATGGTAACACGATAGGATTTCATCCACAGACTCAAACGTTAAAACTACATACTAAATAAATAGTACCCGGTGAAAGTACTCTATGAGAAAAGGGACATGAATTAACCCTTCACCGTTCCTATAAGTTTCTTTTGGAGATAAATACAAGAAATTGTTAACAAAATCGTTGCAATTTAAGAATTTCGTCGGGTCGATTCCTTCCTTCTCCTGAACTTTCGGATCTTTTAAGCATTTGGCTGTATCGAGCCGCAACCCTGGGCCGAGTTGTTCAAAGCTGGGTTAAGATAAACCAGGGTTAGTTCGAAATTTGAATTCAGATCTGAACGCTCAAAAAGCAAATTCAGTTTAATTCTTTTGGTCAACAATTTGATGATTGCCCTAGAAAATGCTTTTGATGAAAAGAAAAAGAGACTCGGGTTAAAATTTAACCCTGGGTTAGCGCTAATCGGCCTTCGAACAACTGGGCCCTACATTTTATGCAACCAGAATATTCTCCTAAAAGAATTCCGAAGAAAAAGAACTGTATTGGCTGTCAATTCACCTTCTTCCTTTTAAGGACCTACAGTGCAGTGAAACGTCATTTAAGCGTCTTCGTAAAGTATCATTAGTACCAATCAGTGGACCAAGCTTCCTGTTTTGGCGAGAAATGCTTCGTTAACCGACCCGTAATCGACTGAACTGACGTTCTTTCTTTCGCGTCTCGTTATGCAACCTAAGGTTGCGTCACGAGCCAAGACAGCGCCTTCGTAAGAGGCTGACCGACAAAGCGACTTTATAAAGACTTGATTCGGCTGTTCCGATGTTGAAGTCAATAAACTTGAAGAAACCACGTGGGTGAGAAACAGAGCATGAACTGTATGCGAAATCGTTTCTCAGAGTGCAACAAGGATAGGTAGATTTCGAGAGATGTTTTAGTGGTTATTGGTATCTTTCCCCTTTGTCTTTTTTTATTTTACAGACCGTTTACCATGCATTTTTATTGCATTAGAAATGTGTTTATTTTGTGCATGAAAAACAATCGGGCTGAAGTTTGATTAAAGTGAAAACACCAAACTGAACGCAAGTGTTTTCTCAAGTACATGTACCGAGAATGAGATTCTCCTGTTAAGGCACTTAAAAGCTCGCATATGAGCTGTTGTTTATCTTAATTTATAATTAACAATTATTAGTAAGGCTGTGTATGATGTGAAGAATCATGCAGATGGCGGACAAAAGCCCCCGAATTCACCACAATTCGTCACATCATACCAAGGCCGAATAATTGTTTTGTTATTCATACAAAATATTTCTAAGCTTTTAACAAAGTTACCTCTTCAAAACATTATCCTATTTCTCCACACGGAGTCAGGATATGAACAGCTTTTTATTCTTACATATTCTTGTTTTGCGTATTTTTGCAATTTTTCTGTTCAGCTTTATTAAGAAAGTCAGCTATTTCGTTTTCGGATAGGAGTCCGTTTATCGCCATCTTTTGAGGCCACTATTACTCAAGCAGCTTCCTTTCCAAGCAAATATACCATCCATAAACCTCGTTTCCAAACAAAGGTAACATCGACTCGATAGTATATTGCTCGCATCTTCCAATTTTGGTAAGCGCCAGTTAGTTATGAAGAATTATCTGGGGGGCGAAATATTTTGGATGAACAATAATCACAATTCAGGTGAAATTTGACATTCATTTTCTCGGACTTCCACGAGAAATTATCTTTGGTGTTACTACAGGTGATTTATTACATCTTCAGCCCTTGATAAATGTAAAAAAGAATTCAATATTCTTTAAATTATTCTGGTACAAGATTTTTAAAATTACGCAATTTCCTGATGGATTCCGTCTTAAGGAAATTAAAAGGTGATATTGGGATAGGGTAGGTGTATGTCACGTAACTGACTATAAGGAACCCCAAAGAAAACGTGAATTAAACCAACCATAGCCGCTTTGTATGAGATAAAAAGGTTATTCAGCCTTTCGTAAATTATATTATAACTCCCAAACCATAAATTATACTGCCAGGAGTGTGCTCAGTCAATTGAAAACCTTTGAACGATACTTTCCTATAATCTTGAAATCTAGTTTTCAGTTTGGCTCACTTAAAACGCTGCCGAAACTTTTCATATTTGAGAGAGAAAAAGTCGGTTACAATAGCCGAATTTATACCTGATATAAAGACAGATTATCCGTCTAGACGGATACTGAATCCGTCAGACGACTAATTCGTCTAGGTATAATTTCGTGAGTCGAAGTGCGCATGCAAGGATTTTAGCACGTCTGTGAGACTTGCTGACAGACGAATCTAGCGAAGACAAATTTCGGGCCAAAATTCGTCTTAACACCGGGTTTATATCTATACGATTTATCATCGGATAAGTCGTCTCTAGTATGAAGTCGGCCAATCTATTTTGATCAGTTAAAGACATCCACATTCCTTGGTATTTACAACAACTTTTATTTACTGTATATTATATACTGTTTCGTAGTTTCCAGTTCAGAAATAACTGGCAGCTTGAACCAACAGAAATTTTAAGCACTTGTCTTTGCGATGGAAACTAATTATCGAAAACGTTGTTCTCATATCTTGTGACCGATCAATATATTTTTCAGGAAATATATAAGTTATATTGCAAGAAGGTAATGCTTATGACCCAGTGGTTTAATGTTCGTTAATTATATTGATTTTGAAGTCAAAACTTGCGTCATCATAATTTGTCTGGCATGGTCCAGTGCCTTACAAATTTCAGTGGCCCTTTGAAGCTTACCATTCTCAGTCGCCGCGCATGCAATTTACTGGGTCAAGAGATCTCTTGACTGAGTAAAACAGCACCTGTGATTATTAACTTAATCAGTATCATTCGAAGGTTCAGAATGAAGGTGCCAGACTACAAAGCGATTCAAACTGTCGCATGCACGGCTTCCCTCTATGGAAACCTCGTGCTGTATGCACTAACAACGTTGAATGTCCTTTTGTCGATCTACGCGTCGATAGGGAACACTCTTATCCTTCTAGCTCTTCGTAAGGAAACTTCTCTTTATCCACCATCGAAACTCTTGTTTCGATGCTTAGCAACAACGGATCTGTTGGTTGGTGTACTGTCACAACCTCTATTTGTCATCCAGTTACTTTCCATTGCACATCAGCGAATGTCACTTTGTTTCACCATAGTTAGTGTAAATGCAGTTGTTGGTTCAAGCCTTATCGGTGTATCCTTGTTCACGACGGCTACAATCAGTATGGACAGACTTCTCGCTCTGTTACTGGGGCTGAGACACAGGAAAATAGTCACTCTGAAACGAATTCGTGGAGTCATCATCCTATGCTGGATTATAAGCATTTCCATCTGCACCTTGAGGCATTTTTGGAAACCACACCATTTTCTATTCTCACAATTTGCCTCTGGAATGATTTACTCGTCGCTAGTAATCTCGGGAATTTCATACACGACGATTTATCTAATTCTTCGCCGTCATCAAACTCAGATGCAAGAGCAAGCGAACGAAGTAGGAACTACATTCAACATAACGCGATACAGAAAGACAGTGTCCACGGCTATGTGGGTACAGCTTACATTAATAGCATGTTATTTTCCCTATGGTGTTGTTAGTACAATAAGCCATCCATATGCCGTATCTCATAATCTTTCTGTCAGGCTTACAATAACCCTTCTCCACCTAAACTCATCTTTAAACCCTGCTCTCTACTGTTGGAAGATCAAGGGAGTTAGGCAAGCGGTGAAGGATACAGTCAGACATCTGTGTGATGTGGTTTGTTCTTTTTAACTTGCAGTCTATAATTACAGGGAATAATTGAGAGGAGCTCCCGCGCGTCAAGAATTTTTGGCGGGAATTATCTGGCAACCAGCGTTTTTTTGGGCGTGCCAACGGGGTAACAGTAACGCGAATGTAACAAATAGAGGACACAAAACAGTAATCTGTTCCTATTGTTCGGTAGCAGCATGTTTGAAATTAAAATATTGTTCAAGTAAAGCCTTATAACTGCTGAAATTAAACATTTGCTATACAGTGCTGTGTACTCGTGAGTGTTTTTGGTCGTGTATCGGCTATGATGAAACTGTGAAGTATTTTCACCATAAGACAGTTACATAGCCTCAATTTCATCCGATTGCTTCGAGTCGTTTTCTCCTCTCAGCAAGTAATAACGACTCGAAGTAATCGGATGAAATTCAGGTTAGGGAATATTCGCGGGGAACAGATTTTGGTCCCTGCAACCATTCCCTGCGAATGTTCCCCTCGTGTGTGCCGGCCTTAAAAATTGCATAAAATTCGACAAAACTTCTCAGGAATTCAAAATACTCTAAACAATTGAGTCTAAAATGTTATAGAATTTCCATGAAAATAACGTTACAAAACAAAATATTCCGTGAAATGAGACACTGATGAGAACAATCGAAGAAAACGCGTGGGTCAAAGAAGTGGCTCAGTATCTTTAAGAATGAATATTAATGGTTCGTTTGATTTGCCGAATTCTAGAATAAGACTGGTTCGTGAAACGCGTAGCCTGCGAATACAGCCGCCTCGCGCGAAACGCCCCTAGCGGCCAGGAGCGATGAGAGGCGGATGAAACGCGTTCCTTCCGTATTCAACGATCATTCGGTAGAAAAACCGAATACATGGGATCGCTTCAAATCTGAATTCGGCCCGCGTTTGTAGGTGGAGCCGATCGGTCCAAAATTGCTGTTCCGTTTCGAGAAAGTGGTCCTTCCTTCGTAGATTTGTAGCCTTCTACGCATACGTTTTTTGGGCTCGTCACGCTTTCCTCCCCCACAGCGGAACTGCCACTTCCGATTTTAGGCCAGTTAGCTTCATTAAGGCCATTCAAAGGTCGGAAATTTGGAATAATATATTCACTTCCAGAAATCTTGACAACCAGGGTACAAATCAGGCTGGCAAAACACACCAATCGAGCAACCCTCAAGAAGTAAGGACAATCTATGTACTTGGGCAGCTGTGCATTGGGGAAGTAAGGTCGGCTTTCCTCGATGTAATGGTTTGCTTTTGCATGCACTTCATCTCTGAGTTCTTTGTGGACTCCAACTTCTTCCACTTTTATCTGTCTGTATTTAAGTCTTTCGGAATTTAATAGAGTTGTTCTCTCGCCAGACATGTCAATTAGTGTATCGTGACTTAACCTAAAGAACAAGACATGAATATCACGGAAGGTTGTCCTCAGCTATTGAGAAACTGAGCAGCCACAGTATTTCTTCTTCGCAGTTTTTATTATTTAAGTTAACTGAAAAACTACATTAACATGCAACATGCCAAGGTAAAGGCAATGTTTTCCACAGTGTCGAAGCTTAGTTGTTTTTACTTATTTCGTAAAACGTATTTTACGGTCCTGTATTCGGTTGTTGTCGTATCAGTGCATGCTAAACCTTGAATTGTGAACACTGCCCGCAATACCAATCCACCGAATCGTTTGACAATTCTTAGTGTAAAATTTTGGGGTGGAACAAGATCAACACCCGGACGAGAAAGAAGTGTGGCAGAAAGGGGTCAGTGACTAAAAGAATACTGAGTCGTTTTTCCCCATGCTGAGAATATATGCCTGAATTGCCAATCAAAACGGACGTTTTCGTACCTGTTACAGCAACCTTGAACTGGGTTTTAAACCATATAAGCTGGCGGTAATAATTTGGATTATGGATCAAGTAGCCCACGGTTCCGGGAAACGTAATCTGGCGTACTCCCTCGTTGTGAAACCGAGTACGCAGCAGCAAGAAACGATATCGCCCAATCCGATTTCTTCAAATATCGGAAACTTGACCGAGGGTCATCACGTGAAATCAAAGTGAAGACGGACATCAGAAGTTGTCTTATACGTCCCTTTTAGCCTTAGGCCGATTTCAAACGTCGTGCTACTGCCGTGCCGAACTAAATTCGACTTTAGCAGGGCAGTAGCGCGACGTTTGAAACCAAGTTGTGCTACCGCAGGGTAGTACGGCAAGCCTTGCCGTGCTACACGGCAGTAGCTCGACTTGGTTTCAAACGTCGTGCTACCGCCGTGCCGAACTCAATTCTTAAATTATAAATGCATTAGAATCAAGAGACTATAAAGGGGACAGAGAGGGCATCCCCCATATACACCCTATTCCATAGGTAATTCGTCTCGAGTTATTTTTAGAATCGGGATAAAGTTACCTCGCGCGAGGCGTGGATGTTTCGCGGAGGTTTCGCATGACCAAACGCCGTGCAAAACA